GGAATATTATACAGCCATCAAAATTGAAATCTTGCCATTTGCAACGACGTGGATAGAACTAGAGGGTATTACGCTAAGCGAAATAAGTCAGAGAAAGACAAGTATCATATGATCTCACTGATATGAGGAATTTGAGAAACAAGACAGAGGATCATAGGGGAAGGGAGGGAAAAAATGAAACGAGATGAAACCAGACAGGGAGAAAAACCATAAGAGACTCTTAATCTCAGGAAACAAACTGAGGGTTGCTGGAGGAGAGGGAGGTGGGAGGGATGGGGTGGCTGGGTGATGGACTTTGGGGAGGGCATGTGCTATGGTGAGTGCTGTGAATTGTGCAAGACTGTTGAATCACAGACCTGTACCCCTGAAACAAATAATACATTATATGTTAATTTAAAAAAAAAGAGAAAGTATTGCTTGTCTTCTCCAGCAGACTTAAATAATTGTATGCAAAATCCAACGATATAAACCAAACATCTCTCCACTATGGGTTGATTGGATTTTTATACTGTTATGGAATTATTGTTCATTTCAACAGGTGTGGAAATGATTGTTGTGGCTCCAGAGGGAACGGCTCTCAGTCATGGGAGATGCACACTGAAGTACGTAGGGTTTGGTCAGGAGTCGGCAAACTTAGGCTCCCAGGCCAGATCTGCCCTCTATTGTTTAAAATAAAGTCTTACGGGGGCACATGGGTGGCTCAGTTAAGAGTCTGCCTTTGGCTTAGGTCATGATCCCAGGGTCCTGGGATCCAGCCCCTGCTTCTCCTTCTCCCTCTGCCCTTCCCCATCCCGCTCATGCATTGCGCTCTCTCTCTCTCTTTCTCTCTGTCAAATGCATTTCAAAAATCTTTAAAAATTAAAATAAAGTCTTATTAAAAGATAGTCACACCCATTTGCTTACATACTATCTGAGGCCGCTTTTGTGTTGCAATGGCCTGGTGAGTAATTGTGACAGAGAGGGTGTGGCCGACAAAACCTAAAATATTAACTATCTGGACCTTTACAGAAAAGAGTTTGGTAAGCCCTGGGCTACAGTATATGGTATCTACAGCTTCCTTTCCAATTGCCTGGCAAAACAATTCAGCAGTAGCAACAGAAATATACATACGTATATATGTGTGCGTATATATCCAGAGCAGAGGAGGAAAGAGACAGTGCAAATGTGACAAGACATTAATAATTGGTGAATTTCAGGGGAGATTCTACAAGTCCTTTTTTCTTTCAATTTTGCTGCAAGTTTGAAATTACTTTAAAAAAAATGTTTGGAGAGTAAATATTGCTTCCCTTAAAAACTAAAGAGAATCTCCTAAATATATATATAGCTCAAGAGAAAATTAAATAAGATCAATAACAATATAAATATGTAACCAGCAATTGCATTAGGTTTTAAAGTAATAAGAACAATCTTATTCACAATCACAACAAAAAATATTAAACCTATGGTTAACAAGAGATGTGGAGCATTTAAGTAAAATAATAAATTTCACCAAAGTCCAAAAGATGGAAGCACAACATTATGTACAAGTTATTGTGAATGTTTGGGATTGGGTGGCCAGTGCATTTACAGGTGTTTAAAAACAAAAAAGGGCGCCTGGGTGGCTCAGATGTTAGGCGTCTGCCTTCGGCTCAGGTCATGATCCCAGGGTCCTAGGATCAAGTCCCGCATCAGGCTCCCTGCTCCTTGGGAGCTTGCTTCTCCCTCCGCTTCATGAATAAATAAATAAAATCTTTAAAAAAAATAAAAAAATAAAAATAAAAACAAAAAAAACAAAAAATAACAACAACAACAAATCACTTTACCAAAGACAAAAAAAGCTTTGAGTAACCGGGAGAACATACCATACCCTGAACAAGCAGACTGAATGATTTAGTATTGGGAAAAATGTCTATCCTCCACAAATACATCTGTAACACTGATGTAATTCCAATTAAAATCACTGTGTGGTTTTGTTGTTGCTGTTTGGGGGAGGATAGTGACATAAAGATTCAAATGTATCTCGGGTAGGAAAAAAAAATGGGCAAAATCAGCCAAGGGCATTTTGAAAATGAAGAGCAATGATAGGTTCATACCTTAGCAGATGTTAAAACTCATTTTAAAAGCTACAGTCATTAAATGACCAAATCTGGCCCAGGAATAATCAAAGAAGAAAAAACCCACGAAGAGATCCAAAGATCTGTAAGAAGAATCGGGACAGCAGGTAGAATGAGAGGGGGAGAGGACAGGTTATATAATAAACGATGATGGAACGATGTGCCCACCATGTGGAAGGAAAAAAAGTCATAGCCCTATATCGTACCACACTCCAAAGTGCAGGAAAATTAAGTACAAAGAAATAAAATCATGAACAATAGAGAAAACAATGTAGATTAATAGTAGTACAAGCTTGTGGCGGCACAGATCTTTCTTAGCATGAGACAAATCATTTTTTAAAGTTTGATATAGTTGGCTAATAAAAATTTTAATCTTCTATACACCTGAAAGCACTATAACCAAAATTAAGAAAAAAAAACAAACTGCGGGGTACCTGGGTGGCTCAGACGGTTGAGTGTCTGACTCTTGATTTCGGCTCAGGTCATGATCTCAGGGTCCTGAGATGGAGCCCTGCACTGGGCTCTGCGCTGGGTGTGGAGCCTGTTTAAGATTCTCTCTCTCCCTCTCTCTGCCCCTCCCTCTGCTCTCTCTCTCTCAAAAAAAAAAAAAAAAAAGAATCCTCTGAGATAAATATTTGCAACATAAATGATCTTAAGGGGCCACTGTCCTCACTGTCTAATCATTATAGGAAAAAATATTATTAAAACGTTTAAATGTACAAATGCTGTGATATACAATTCATAAAATAATATAATTGTTGGAATTCAGCATGGTTATTATTTTCTTTTTTTCATTTATATGTATTTTCTGAGTTTTCTACCCCCCCCCAAAAAATGTATTATTCCTATAGAAAAAAATAAATTGCAAAATAGGGACCAGAAAAAAATTTTTCTTCAGGCAACCTAAGCTTCTTACCAGAGAGCAGTAAAAAAACTCCTTTACCAGCTCCAAACTTTCCCAGAATGTGTAGGTATGCAAGGTTCCCAACAACTCCCTTTCCAGGGCCAGAAAATGTGCATTTTTCATCTCCTTGAATCTTCCAAAAATCTCAAGTCGGGTGTTGTTATTACCCTAATATTATAAACAAGAAAGTGAAGGCTCAGAGAAGCTCAACAAGCTTCCCAAGGTCACACAGGACCAACCAGAAGAATTGGAACCTGATCCCAGGCTGGTCTGACCACAAACTCAGCACTTTCTGGGCCCCTTTTCAAGCCCCTTGGGTTGGGAGGCAGAAGGTCTGAGTTCTGGGCACCTCGGTGGCTCAGTTGGTTAAGTGACTGCCTTCGGCTCAGGTCATGATCCTGGAGTCCCAGGATCGAGTCCCGCATCGGGCTCCCTGCTCAGCAGGGAGTCTGCTTCTCCCTCTGACCCTCTTCCCTCTCGTGCTCTCTATCTCTCGTTCTCTCTCTCTCAAATAAATAAATAAAATCTTAAAAAAAAAAAAGGTCTGAGGTCTGATCCTGCCTCTGTCCCCTCCTACACGATGTCCTCAGCAAGTCTCTTCCTCTAACCCTTAGTTTTCTCATCTGTCCAATGAGAAGTGGATCGGCTCAAATGGGGTGTCACATTCCTCCCTCCTCAGACATTCAAGATTTCTGTTCTCATAAAGCACTCAGTACCAACCAATGGCCAAACCAGAGATGAAAGCCCGTAGCCTGGGAGCTAGCATTGGGGGCCGCAGACGGATGCCCCATGCGCTGGCTCACCTTGAACTCCTGACGGATGCGTTCCTCCAGGACCTTGGCAGCCTTCCGGTCCTCCATCTCCACTTTCCACTTCTCTGCCAGGATCCGGGCTTTCTCATTGGCCAGAGCATCCCGGAACTTCTTGGTGATTTCTGCCTCCTTCTGTCTCCTTGCAAGAGAACACCAGCAGGTATGAGCTCATGTAGGCACATAAAAACAGGATTTCAAATAAAAACCAGGAGCAATATTTCTTGGTCTATCAGAATGGAATATATCTAAGAGCAGCAAAACTCAATGCTGGCAAAGGTGGGGGCAGAAACAGTCACTGTCCTGTAGGGTAATGTAAATCGACCGAATTTTTCTGGAAGCCAGGAAAAAAAATAGACTCAGAAATCCTTTTTCTCGCTTAAGATCACAAAGGTGTAGGTAGAAGATGTTCATCAGAGGATTTTTATCACATAACAATTGGCAAACAACCTAAATGTCCATTAACAGGACCAATAAGTTGGGTTTCTCATGTAATAGGATACCATATAATAATCCTTGTGAATCTATATTAATCAATTTGTCTGAGAAAACTCAGAAAATACATATAAATGAAAAGAAGGTGTTGCCAAATGCTCACCGTGATTATCTTAGGTAGTGGGTGTTGAGTTGTTACAATTTTACAATTAAAATATTGTCATTAAAAGCTGGGTGGGAGGGAATGTTGGAGTCAACTTATATGGATTTCCAAGTTGGGCAAAAAAAAAAAAAAAAAAAGGTTAAAAGTTGTTTATGAAAGAAGGCTGACTCCAAATCTTACCGGGGGCTCAACTATCCACATTGTATGTGAAATGCAGCTAAAAGAGAAATGAGCAGACAACAGTGAATCCAAATTCCTTTATTGTCACAGGGACAACTCAGTGAGGAATAAAAGAAATGTATGTCATTATCTCAGTGAATCCAAACTATGTCCAGATGGAAAGGGTGTTATGCCCACACCACAGATTCGAAAACTGAGACCCCAGATCAGCTCTCTACTCACTGGTGAAGCCAGGATTTGAACCCACAAGATCTACCTGATGAAGAAGACTCTGAGGTTTTGGTCGCCTAATCTTAGCTGAGGTCAGCAGGGTCAGCCAGCTGCCTGGCACCTCCTCCCTCCCACCCACCACCTGTCGTCCTTCAGCTTGGACCCAGCCTAGGCTCTGTGTTCAGATCCCACCCAAGACCCATCTGCGCCTCTCACCAGAGCTCCTCGGCCTCCCTCTGTGCCTGCAGCCTCGCCCTCTGTGCAATCAGCTCCTCAGAGATCTCTTCGTAGGGCTTGTCACCAGGACCTTCTCCCATGATCCAGACCCAGACTTCACCATCTGCCCCCAGGAGCCACCGGATGTGCTTGTCGCTCGCTGCCTCACAGCAGAAGGAGGAACAAGGAAGGAAGAAGAAACAGGTCTGAGTTCTAATTAGTCCAGGATGGGCTAGGTTGGCCAATGGTGCACCACGTTGTCTCTACAGAACGTTGTCATCTACAAAAAGCATTCCAGAGAGATAGCCTGAGTGCAGGTCCACCTCCACCTCCCCTCCCACTCCCTCCAGGGAGCAATGCAGCTGCCACGTCAGCCCGTTGAAGCAGGTGCCCAAGGCTGGAATTGGTGTCGGCGGCTGAGCGCTGTGGAGATGGACCTTCAGCAAACAGGACAGCAGGAGAACAGTGCATCTGGCCTTCTCTTCCTCCCTCCTGTCCACTGGCTGGAAACAAGGAATTGGAGATAGTGTTCCAAGATACAGAGTCTAGGCCCCTGACCCGCATCTGCCTGTAACATGAGCAAGAAATAAACCTGTGCCGTATTAAGCCACTGAGATTGCTCGGTTTGCCTGTTGCAACAGATTCCATTGATTACCAGGACGAAAATGGAAATCTATGGGGCGACTGGCTGGCGCAGTCATTAAGTGTCTGCCTTCGGCTCAGGTCATGATCCCAGGGCCCTGGGATCGAGCCCCGCACCGGGCTCCCTGCTCAGCGGGAAGCCTGCTTCTCCCTCTCCCACTCCCCCTGCTTGTGTTCCCTCTCTCGCTGTGTCTCTCTCTGTCAAATAAATACATAAAATCTTTAAAAATGAGTAAATAAAAATAAAATAAAATGGAAATCTACTCCCAAAGCAGGGTAGTGCCAGGACAGAAATAGCAGCTGTGTGTCATTGCCTGAGCCATGAGGTGGCAGTCAGCTGCAGACTGAATGAACGGCTACGGATCCATGTTAATACAAGAGCAAAACAGCTGAGAAAATTGTCAGACGCTGTAACTGGAAAGGCAGACCCTCACGCCTTCCAGAACTGCCACTCTAAGGCAAGAGATTGGAAAACAGAACATTCCAATGCCTATTGTGTTCAGCAAGGTGTTAAGAGAAAAGAAATGAGTTCCAGGAAGAATTGAGTGCTTTGCAAGTAAAAATGAAAGGGAATGGAGAGAACACAGAAATCTGGGACTTTGTAGGACTGGAAAAAACCACCTCCTTCTAGGGCCCAAATTACAGGAGAGGGGATTTTTTTTTTTTTTTTGAAGTTTGCATGATAGAGCCCAATAGAACTTCTAAGGTGAAGAAGTGACCTAAGGCACAGAACACCGTGGCGGTCATGAGAATGTGCTCCACCGACATCCAACTGCAGGGGGCAGAACCGAGCAAGCACTTCAGTTCCTACGCTCCTGTGTTTGCCCGCCACCATGCTTCCCAGAGTGGCTCCCAGCCTTTGACTCACCATCCGAAGAGCAGACTCTTCGGATGGGCAACGTCAATGACTCCTTGACTGCACAGCTTGGGCTGCATGGCTATCTAGAACACCTCCTCCCCCACCTCCCTCCCCCCTGCCCAGAACACCTCGGCCTCCCACCCTCCTTCGCTCAAGGTCAGATTTGTGTTGCAGTACAATGGCTCTCCCACACTTCTCCAGGGCTCTGCCCCTTTTCTCCCATAAGGAAAATTTTATTTCTTGAATAAAGCCCTTGTTTGTGTAACCCCATTCCTGTCTCTATTCCTCAGAGGAGTCAGGCTAACACAAGTGCATTAAGAGTACAATCTCTCGTGTTATTTTTCAAAGAGCCTGAGATAGATAGATGCCCTTCGGTTGGAAGGAGAAATAGAGGCAGAGAGGTGCAGTCAACTTGCAAAATATGTCTAGAAAAGAAATTTTAGATGTGGTTACAGGGACATGGAAACAAACAGATCAGAAGCCTCCTAAGTTTTTGAGTCTGGACTAAAAAAAGCCTTTGATTGTTCGAGATGTCAGCCACCCTTGGATACCCAATCTCGATGAATGAACAGGAGGCAGGTTTCAAAGGCTGTACTGGTCAGGAGGGCGTGGTCCTCAACACTCACTTCAGATGAGGCTAAGGGGAATGATGAACAAAGAGAAGGCTCCTCAAGGGCACGGTCCTACCCTTACTGAAGGCTGTCCCTTCACTGCCAGGGCAGGAGAACTGCAGAGCCTGACCGGTGGGACTGCAGGAATGCTATCAGCTAGTGACTGAGTGGGGCTCACATTCTCCCCTTTTCCATAGTGGACATTCTCAACCCCCGCTCTACCACTGTGTAGTATGTTGTAAAGGTGGGGGGTGTTTAGATGACATGCCTTTTCAAGCCACATCCAGACATTAGAGAGATCAATGCAGAACCCATGCAGACTGTGGACTTTGGGCTGGAGGCAGTGACTGCATGGGACTTGAGGGTATCCCGCTTAAGGAGGTCGTGAGTGCACTTATATGGAAGAGGAGAACATAATGTGGGAGGGACCAGAATGACAATCTGTGACCGCCACCATGCTGTCTGGCACCCCATTTCCCCTCCCTGAGCCCACCAGATGACGACTCTCCTCAGTTCCACGTGGCCATGTGAATGAATTCTAGACTATGGATGATGTCAGAGGAGGCTATTTATACCTTTTCAGGCTGTGACTGTTGCGGTTGGTGTGACTTTTCCATATTCTGTCCCTCACCCACCCATCTCATCCAAGATGGTGGGACTGCAAGGAAAAAGCAGCCTGATCCATGAGTCAGTGTTTGAAAGCCAGTGACACAGAAGAGCCACCCAATCCACATCAAGAAATAAACCTTCTTTATATTAATCCACTGAAATTTCAGGGCTTATCCATTGCCCAAAGCAGCATTAATTCCCTAATATAGGACGATACTGTTACTTTTTTGCATGGTAAAAGCAACACAGGCTTAGTTATGACTGGTAAAACACTATTAAGATTATAAAACTTCCAGAGTAATAGTGGGGGGAAATAAATGATAAGAGGTTTACCAATCTTGCAAAAATCTGTAAAAGGCAAGAGAAAACAAACACGATGCAGTTATTAGAGCAGACGATGTCGGTGCCCAGCCGCCACCCCTCCACCCCACCTTCCTCCCTTATGGGAAAACCCTGATCTGCCCAGGGTGTATAGAGATCTTGCAGCATCAGGAAAGGCAAGTTTCTATGCCAGCCTCAAAGGACAAGCAGAATTAGTGAGGGATCAATCTAGGAAAAACCTAAAGTCTCCATTTCTGACAAAGATGTAAGCAGAAGTCCAAATAAAGAGCTTTCCCCTCTGAACGGAAGGGGAAGACTCCTTAGGAAAAACCCCTGCATGCTTCCTCTTTTATTTCCTCCTTCCTCCTCCCTGAAATGAAGACATGAAGCCTGGAATTGCTGGAAGACTTTTGCCACCATGAGGAAGAAAGCCGCAACTAAGGGCAAGGAAGCAGAAAGAGAGAAGGAGGTGGGGCCCTGATGGTTTTCCTGAGCAGCTACACCAGTGTTACCCAAGCAGTAACCTCCAGTGGCCTCGCCGTTTGAGACAAATAACGACCTTCAAAGAATACAGTTGTATCATTATCAAATGAAATATGATAATATTAATTTGAAATGCTGATTTAATTAAGCAACTATTTGCCAGATATTCCATTATGTAAGGTCAAGCACATCCCTAACTGATTTAGATAACAAACACAAAATAACACCAAAGCCCTAAACCCTAAGTATATTCACTAACACAGAAACATGAACAGAATTAATTCCCCCATTAAAACTCTGAGGCTGTCAAATGTGATTAAAAATAAAATCTAGGGGCGCCTGGGTGGTACAGTCGGTTAAGCACTCGACTCTGGTTGTGATCTCAGGGTCATGAGATCAAGCCCCGCATCAGGCTCTATGCTCAGCATGGAGTCTGCTTAGGATTCTCTCTCCCTCTCCCTCTGCCCCTCCCCCCTTCTCTCTCTCAAACGAATAAATAAATCTTTAAAATAAATAAGTAAAACCTAACTGTGCATTATTTAAATAAAACATACATTTTTGCGGGTGCCTGGGTGGCTCAGTCAGTTGAGCATCTGACTCTTGATTTCAGTTCAGGTCATGATCTCAGGATCCTGGGATTAAGCCCGTCATCAGGCTTCCTGCTCAGCGGGGAGTCTGCTCCTCCCTCCCCCTCTGCTCCTCCCCCTTCTCGTGCTCTTGCACATGCACTCTCTCTCTTTCTAAAATAAATAAATAAATATTTTTTTAAAAAACATACTTTTTTTTTTACAAGATAAAGGTTAAAAGTAAAGAGCTAGGCAGCAGTGGACCATGAAAAGGTGAGCAAAAAGAAAGCAGGAGTGACAATGCAAGGACAAATGTGCTTAAAAAAAAAAAAGACAAAGAAGGGGTGCCTGGGTGGCTCAGTTGTTAAGTGTCTGCTTTTGGCTCAGGTCATGGTCCCAGGGTCCTGGGATGGAGCCCTGCGTCGGGCTCCCTGCTCCGCGGGAAGCCTGCTTCTCCCTCTCCCACTCCCCCTGCTTGTGTTCCTTCTCTCGCTGTGTTTCTCTCTGTCAAATAAATAAAATCTTAAAAAAAAAGAAGAAGAAGAATATTGTGTGATAATAAAAGATGCACCCCACAAAGAAAATATAAAAGTCATAAAACTTGATACAACATACAACACAGCAGACAACTGCATCAAAGAAAAACTCCTAATGATGCAAGGAGAATTTGAAAGTGTATCTATGGTGGGTAGTTTTATTATATTTATTTCAGAAGTTGGTGGATCATGTAGATTTTAAAAATTAATAATACAGAAGATTTGAATAATATGGTCAAAAAAATTTTATTTAACAATTACAGAACTTCATTCCTTAAGCTTTGAGATTGTACTTTTTTTCCTTTTGAGCTTACAATCGTGAGAAAAAAATGTATAGGCCATAATCTCTAATAATAATATAAAAATTAGAAATTGATGGGAAAAATAGCCATTTTTAAAAGCCATTAATAAATTAATAATTAAGAAAATATCTTCTAGTGGGCACCTGGGTGACTCAGTGGGTTAAGGGTCCGACTCTTGGTTTCAGCTCAGGTCACTATCTCAGGGTGGTGGGATCAGGCCCTGCATCAGGC